CTTTTTTCAAACATCCCAGTTGAGTGAAAATTATGGAATGCCCCCATAATGTCTTGTTTAATGATGTCCCAACATTTTAGATAAAACCCCATTGTGTAACCATCATGGCCAGGGGCTTTGTCTATAGCACACATCTTTAGACACTCGAAAACTTCTTGCTCCTCGAACGCAACCTGCAATACTTCATTCTCATCCGCTGTAATGGTAGGATGATTGCTAATATTTTCAGAAGGCCTCCACTCTTCAGGTTCTGTTTATAACTTCTTGTAGAAGGAAATGATTTCTTCCTTGATTCTATTAGGCTCAGATATGGTCTCTCCCTGCACTTCCAGCTGATCAATGTGGTTATATCTCTTGTGGGCATTAGCAGTTTGATGAAAAAACTTTGTATTCCTATCCCCTTCCTTGAGCCATAAAGCTCTTGATCTCTGCCTCCAGGCCACTTCCTCATTCTTTAAGCACCCCTCATACTCCATGAAAAGTGTTGCTTTTTTGGCTATTTCCTCCTCTGTTAAAGCTCTACTGTTTAGATGTGAATCCAGCTCAGCCATCTGTATGAGAAGGTTGTTCTTTTGCAAATTCAGATTTCCTGTTCATTTCTGCTCCATTCTTTCAATTTCCCTTTGAGAGCTTTGAGTTTACATGCTAAGATGTAATCAGGCTTCCCATAGAATTCAAAAGCATTCCACCAGTCTTTGATTCTTTCAACAAAACCTTCTTGGTTTAGCCACCAATTTTCAAACTTGAAATAGGATTTGGATTGTTCCCAGTGTCCACAGAATAGAGCTATAGGAACATGATCTGAAATCACTCTTTGCAGAGTAGTCTGCTTTAGGCTATTGAAAAGATTATTCCATTCTATGGAGAGGTATATGGAAGATAGATAGCATATATGTAGGGAGGGCATCTAAAACTGAGTTAATCAAAGTTAGTCTACCTCCCAAGGATAGATATTGTGATCTCCATCTGGTTAATTTCTTTTCACGAGGTCCATGTCCTCAATGCAATCTGAGAACTCTCTCATTGCTGAATTTCTCTGGCTACAATCCCTTTTTTCAGAGGAAAATCTACAAACATTGAAGTCACCACAGATGGCCCATGGTCCATCCATCAATCCTCTTACATCAGCCAATTCCTCTCATACTAGCCTCCTCTCCACTTGACTGTTGGGAGCATACACACTAGTAATATGACATTCGAAATTACTTAACTAAGCCCTGAACTTGCAAGACAGAGTATAGGCTCCAACTTGTAAAGTTTCCCCTTCCCAAACTCTAGAGTCCCATAGTATTAGGATTCCACCTCTGGTTCCACTGGCCTCCAGACATGCATATTTAATCCATCTCCCTGCCCAAATTTGTTTGATTAATTCTTGTACATTGCCTTCTAGTTTTGTCTCCTGGAGGCAGACTATGTCTGCTTTCCAATCCTGAATCATATTTTGTACCACCATTCTCTTCCCCTGATCCTTCAACCCCCTAACATTCCATGAGATTAATTTGATCTTCATGGAGTATTCTGTGAGCTCCCCTTCCCCTTCCCTCTGTCTCCATTGCTTTTGAATTTAACATCAAAGGATATCAGATTCTTTAACTCTTGTGCTCCTTTATGTTTTGTTCTCTTAACTTCTATTGACCTCTCCATTTTTCTTACTTGCCTGCTTGCATCCACCTGCTTAAGGAGTTCAAGTGCTTCCTCTTCCATCCCCTGGAAATCCACTCCAAACATCTTATGGAGTTTCAGTAAGTTTTGATGAATCCAGGCTGTGGCCTTCCTCTCCATTTCAGTAAGAGCTCCTTGTTGTTGTGTACAAAGGGGTCCGATCTCCTGTACATCCCATAATTCCCCAGAATTCTCCATCCCCATTATTTCCTGACTTGTTTCAAAATCACCTGTGACAATTTTCCCATGTTCTTTATCTTCAGTTACTTCCTCGCTTGCTACGCACAGTTGTGCAGTTTCGTTTTCTCCTTCCTCTCCTTCAATTTTTAGTTGTTCTTCAAAGGTGAAAAGTGTAGCTTCCTGTATTTCCTGTCTTCTCTGCATGTGGTAATTTGAAAAATATGTCACCGTGGTTTCATCCACTATGACCTCCTGGAATAGATTGTCCTTGGGCTGCTGGTTAAAATTGTTAGCAATAATATTTGCATGGTCCAGCCCATTAGGTTTCAGGCCCAATTTTTTTTTAAAATTGTGCACATGCCCATCACGTGCTCTTTCAGTCAATTTAAAAAATTCTCCAGCTGTCCCACGTGTTTCTCCCCTGTTCCGTCACCATCATGTTCAGGATTCTCGGATATAGAGGTTGAAGGCTCTATTATCCGCTGGATCTTGCTTTGAGCCCCCTCATCTTCTCCGGCAACTGGTCCATCTCTCTCCGGCGACAACTCAAAGCGAATTTTCCTTTCCACCCATATCAGGATGATGAAGTTAACTCCTTCTCTGGTGATGGTGACTACCGTCGGCATGCTCTGATCATCCCCTTGTGTCTCGATCCTAGCCCATTTGAGGTGGTTTCTTAGCTTTGTTTCCTCCTCCGTCGCTAGCCATCCTCCACAGAGTTCTCCGATTTCGTGGAAGGTCTCTTCCGTCCAAAGATGCATTGGAATACCCATAGCCCTAATCCAAGTGGATTTGGGCTTGTAAGAGATAGGTACACATCCTGCAGTAGGGTTCCACCACTCTAACTTGAGTATGCTTCTCTTCCACATCCATTCTCCCTGGAGAACTTGTTCTGCCATGTATCTGTTTGGGAACTCGAAGAGGTAACAATTGTCCATCATCTCATAGATATTGATCCCAAAAGCCTTTTTCCATACCATCGAAGACCAACGTCTCACCTCAGATAGGGTGGGATTTTCAGCTTTCTCCTTGTCAAAAAATCCAAAGATACATCTTCCCAGTACTCCTTGATCGTTGATTTTGGCTTCACAGTTGACTCCAATCTCTTTGCCTTTGGTTGTGACCATATCAGGGCTGTTACTTTGCCATTTGCTGTTTGTAACTGCTTTTACATATGGCATCTTAGAGTCATGTGTCCTGCTTTGTATCTTCTCCTTTTGTGGTGAGCATTTAATGAAACTTTGAATCTTAAATGCCACACTTTTCCATCCAGCATTTATGTCTGACTCGGGTACAATAATATCTGTTCTGTCCTCTCCCTTCAGTGAGAGAATACTCATATATCTCCCAAGAGAGTTATGTTTCCTCGTACCAAAGAATTCTGCCACCCGATCTTTGAATCTCCACCTTCTCATCTGGTTTTTTTGGCCTGATGATGCTTCTCTGAGAATGAAACAAATCCATTCTAGCACCTTCTCACTAAGCGTAACCCTCCTCATCATTTGTCTGCTTCTTTCCACCCAGTCATACCATGCAACATTGTTTGAAGTCCATCTGGTGATGTCATAAGAATTAAAACCTTGGTTGAAATATATTCTATTATCCCCCATAATTTCTAAAGACGGGAGATGATTTTTTGTAAAACAGTAATCACGGATGTAAGAACTGAGTTGTTTGAATGAAAGGGTCAATTTCCGACTAGTCTACTGGAAAAGGGAGGTTCTGCAATCCTAGAAAGTAGGAGAGAGAGTGTCATTGGTAAATGTGCCTGGAGCATGTACTTCGATGGGATGTTATTAAGCCTCCAATTCGAGATTCATTGCATCCTTTTATAATAATGGTGGTGTCTGGTCTAGCTCATAATGACTATAGATATATAATAACTCTGCCCATTTAGGATTAGGCAGAAGAAAAAGAAAACACCTTGACATTCTTTTATCAGTGCACCATCATTTCCTCCTCCTTTTGCACGTCATGACAACTCTACATACTAGCTTCTCATGCCTCCTTTACTGATGCAAAGTCCCCTATTAGCATCAACTTGCTTTCTTCTCCATCTCCTATATCTCTTAGAAGGTAGCTCATTGAATTAGAGAAGTGTAGCTATTATTCCGAGATTTTTATTCTTATTAGGAGTAGCTGGTCGGAGGATAATTAGTTTTGGTCTTTGTTCTACTTCTACCATGGTTGATTGAAAAACTATTATACCTTGGTTGGTCACCCTAATGGTGTTCTGTTCGTTTGTATCTTGAGCATGAGTTGTTTGTTCTTTTGTATCTTGAGCATGAGTTGTTTGTTATTTTGTATCTTGAGCATGAGTTGTTCACGTATAGCACCAAGTCAAGCTCAAACCTCAATAGAATTGGCTCAGTCAAGCTCAAGCCAGCTAAATTTTTTCTTGGTTTTTTCTCACTCGACTCAACTTGTTTACACCCCTAGACCCTACATGGGAAATCTGCGTCAAATCCTCCCTAACCAAGGATTTTGGAGCACTTTAAATTTCTCACACTAACTGCCCAAATTATTTAGAAATCTACATTTATTTTCCTTTCTCACTCATTTCCTTCGACTGCACGCCATCAATGATTCCCGTCTATTCATAGATCTTTGCTCATATACCTTTGCGCTCAAGAGATGATAATTTCTTATATTGCTCAACGGAAAGGAAATTGTGATCAACGTTTCCTTCTTTTTTTGATAACTGTGGTGTCCGAGCCAGCTTTGGCTCAACTAATTCCACAGGTACCTGTCACCTCCCACAACCTCTTCTTAACCACTTCATTGACCACTAGGTCACACCCTTGGGTGCCAAGGTTTCCTTCTGCCATGTGGTGTTAAGTGGAAAGGGTCAGTGTCGGTAATGGAGATTGTCACTTTGTCAGCCATTGGGTAGAAGAGGTCAAGAAGATATGGAAGAATGTAAGTCATGTTTCGGAGGCAACTTCAGTGAGATAGAGCGGTATCAAAATAATCAGTAGGAGAGGGCAAGGAAGATTGAAGGTCAAGTTTCAGACGCAGCTTCAGGGAGATATAGTGGTGCAATTGAGGCATGCAAAGCCAAAATTAACTAAAGAAGGTTATACATGTATTAAAATGCAAAAACATGCAATAAGGGCATGTCTCAACAAATCATAACGAAGTACATCAAATTGTTTTACCTCATCCACTCCAGGAAATTTTAGTCCCAGCTCAGCAGCTTGCTGTGGTGTACTGGCGAGGTAAACAGAGGCCCAATCTTTGCTGCCAAATGAAGTAGTACCCATAGATGATGAAGAGTTATCAGAGCATAATTTGCTAAAAGAGCCCCAATCTACACCGCTGCTCCCTCCCTGAGCCTCACTGCCATCATTCCCAGCAAGTTTTTTTGCCAAGAAACCACTGGCACCCTCCTCCAAGACTTTTCCATGTTTCCTGCCCCATAACAAAGCCAGTGGCCAAAGTCACAACACACACATTGTTTATCACTGAGTAACTGGAATAAGATAGGTGGAGTAACTTGCCTTCTTACAGGTCTGTGGATTTGAAGATACTTCTCAGCATCAGCAATTGCTCCAGTGAGGTCGCTTGTTAGCTCAGAACCAACCCACTGAGTCCTATTTTTCCATGCTTCAGTGCAGCAACCGTGAGGAGCCTGACTCTCTATCCACTTATAGAGACTAGGGAGTTCAATTCCAGCACCATCCAGTTGTTCCTAATCATATCAGCATGTTAAAGTTAATTAAGTAGAATTGGGAACTGAGAGCTACAAAAATCAAGCATACTAACAACACCACGACATAACAAGAAAAATTATATCACATAGTAAAAAAGAAAAAGCTACTCCCTCCGTTTCATAAAGAATGACCTGGTTTGACTTGGCACGGAGTTTAAGTAAATAAAGAAAACTTTTGAATCTTGTGGTCCTAAATTAAAGTTATGTCAAATGTACAAAATTGCCCTTAATCTTGTGGTCTTAAACATGCCACGTGGAAAGCAAATAGTAAAATGTTACCAAAAAAGGAAAGAGGTCATTCTTTTTGAAACTGACTAAAAAGGAAAGAAGGTCATTCTTTGTGAAATGGAGGGAGTATTGTATTTCCTTTTCTTACTGATTTTTGTTATGTTTTACTTGAGCCGGGGGTCCATCAAAAACAGCCTCTCTACCTTCACACGGTAGGGGTAAGGTTTGCGACCGTACACACTACCCTCCCAAGATTCCACTTGTGGGATTACACTGGGTTAGTTGTAGTTGTTGTAAAAAAAATGAAGTGGAGTATATGATCGACATAACAGTTCAAAGTGTCCAGTTATATATGGAAAAGATACGTACCAAGTGAACTCAATGACATTTGGGTTAAGCAAGAATTTGGTTGGAGATATTAAGGAAAAAGATAGCAGAGAGGAACTACACCATCTATAACATGGACAAAGAAAAAAGAAATGGTAAATAAAGAACCTGCACATCCAATGCAAAAGTAATCCCACCATGAACCAGCAACAACTGCATTGCTTTTTCTCTATATTAATAATAGTTCAGTCTCCTTGTTTATTTCCTTTCAAAGGGCCTATATCTACTACCAAACTAGTGGTTTACATGCATAAAGTACAAAAAAAGTAACAAGTCCCTGGGGCTTAAAGCGAAAAAAAAGAAGTGAAGCACACAATTACACATACGAATTTAGTATTATAAAATAGAAGTGCAATTAAAAGCTATTTTAAAATCCAATGTACAAACATGTCAATATTAATCCAATTTCTCAAAATTGTGATTCAATGAACCCCCTACTTTCTTTGGGATCACTTGCGCGTCATTATTTGAAATGCACACTTCTGTAAAACCAATGGCTTCACCCCTGAAATGATAAACCCTCGCTTCGCATCACTTCAACATTTTAAGCAACGAAAATGATGGTGTTTAATAACACTAACCAAAATATAGGACAGTACAGGCAAAAGGAGCAAACTAAACTGCAAGCTCGAAATACAATGGGTGTCCTAAAAAATTGTGTGAACATAGTTTGTATTTAAAGGTCATGAAAACCAACTAACAAATTGCACACCTATTACATCGTGGAAGAGAGAAATCATGACTGTAATAAATGCTTGTTAGATTAATTGAGAAGTTTGAAATTTCAAACTGATTGTTGGTATGGCATTCCTCGTAAGCATCAGTAGGACATACAAAACGTCAACACTGGAGATAATCCAATGTCACTTTGTTCTTCAAAGATCTGATAATTTGAATAGTTGAATTTCAGAGGTATAAACATCCATCAAGATAATGAAAAGGCACTCAGTTTCTTGTGATAAGAATTAAATGAACTTCCACCATGGTGAATGCTCAAGTTACTTTTTAGAGAGAAGAGAAAACAATGAATGTTAAAGTTAATGAAACACCAATAGTAAAGACAAAACGGTATTTTTCTATTGCAAGGAAAGAAACTAGATTTCATATGGCTGAAAGAAAAGCTATCATTACAATCTTCACAATTTACATCCTTTCTAAGTATATCCTCTTTCCTTATGTTATTAAACATATATACTAGTTTGTGATAAGTCAAACTCTCTTATCTCTCACTGACATTCCCCAAATCAATGACATAACTCAACTCTCCCCTGTTCTCAACTCTTTTAACTTAGCAATTAGACATCACATATCATGAAACAGCAAAGGAAACTTGTTTTCTTGAATTGACTAGCTCTATTTCATTTGAACTCAAAACAGCTATAGATTGAAACAAACACTGAATGACATCCGCCAAATCAATGCATTACAGAACTCAATTCTGCCCTGTTCTCCATCCTTTTTACCAAACAATTAGATATCAGATATCATGAAACAACACAGGGAACTCTCTTTTTTCATCAATTACTCAATTTTCTTTAAACTCAAAATAGCTACAAACTGAAACGAACACTGACCAACAGCCCCCAAATCAATGCGATACAAAACTCAATTGTCCCCTGTTCCCAATTGCTTTACACTAAACAATTATATACTTAGGACTTCCATGTAGGAGGTCTCAAGTTCGAAACCCCATGCCAGTGAAAGCAAGAGGTTTGCCTTCTAGGTCGAGCTCATCGCATCCGGGCTTGCCTAGTGCGGGTTACCTCTCCTGTGTTGTTTGCGAGCTATTGCATAGGTGCGGGGGGTTTACCCCGTGCGCACCCAAAGGGCAGCGGTTGCGGGTTTCCCTTGTCATCAAAAAAAAAAAAGAGAACTCCAATTTTTTCAATTGATTAGCTCAATTTCCTTTAAACTCAAAAGAGCAGCAGGTATTTTTGGTATCCGAATTTCTATGTATAACTTTATCCTAGATGATTTATTTCTTTTCCCAATGAAGTGCACCGTAGCTTAATAGTCAACAGCATATGGGACAACGGACATGAAAAGTTAAAATAGTATATAGGTAATATGGAAGTGAATCCTTGTATGATGAGCAAAACCAGTGTATTTATTGAGTAGCCTGAGATTCCTAATTAGGGTACAGCAAAATCCGTACATTTTGTAGCTTAGCTTTGCCCCTTCCAATCAGTGTATGATGAGCCAAACAGCGTCTACTTGGTAATATGAGATTCTAAAAAAGGCCCACCAAATACATTAAGTAACTAACTCTAGCTTCTGTGCCTTTTCCAGCTTATAAGATGCGTGGATAATAAATTGTTAGGTCAATTGGGTGTTACCATGTCATATAAGTAGCAAGAAAACTGCACTTGATAAAAGACCTTTTGCTGACCAATTAATTATGGAGGCATTGACAGTCAAACTAATGCAAACATTCCACAACATAAACAATGATTGGACATACTCTCTTCCGGTGGGTTCATCTGTTCTCATCTACTGACTTCATCAGTTCTTTTATATGTGAAAAGAAATTGAAATGACTTCACCAGTTTTCTATGCCTTGTGAAGCAGTTTCATCGAGAGTTGTTCCTGTACGAATTTGTCTCTTTTGCCTTCTATATAAATTTGTTATAAGTTTTAGTTATCTAATTTCGGAAACTACCCAAATGAATGTAAACCCCAAAACCTGGGGCTACAGTAAGTCTACCGAAACCAGTTGTATCTCCTAAACCTGACAGCATTAGCCAAGTTTAACTTTGGCATGAAACTCATAAAAAAAATATCAACTGCCACTTCCAAGTAGTTGAGAAATTAATTGACTGCCTCCAAAAGGGGTGATCTAACGGTCGAACAGTTGGAGTGACAACATGGGGAAGTAGGTAACGAAGAACCAAGATTCAAATTCAGTAGAAAAGACATTAGGTGAGTTCTTCCTGTTGACCTAAGCATTGTGGGCAAAGTTACTCAACCCCTATGCAGGTGGGGTTCAAATTCAGTGGAGAAGATAGTGGGTGAATACTTCCTAATTGCACCCTGGCCTAGTGGTCAATGAAGTGGGTTATAACCATGAGGTCGGAGGTTCAAATCCCATAAGACAAAAACACTAGGTGATTTCTTCCTAACCGGTTATTAGTCGAGGTGCGCGCAAGCTGGACTGAACACCACGGTTATCAAAAAGAAGAAAACTCTTCCTAATTGCATAAGCATAGTAGACAAAGTAACTTGACAGCTATGCTAGTGCGAGGTACAAGGTACTTGTGCCTCTCTACCCTACCGCTTCTTCTCTACCCCTCTACTTTCACTACTATTATTATTGCTATTATTAAAAAATATTGATACGTCTTCTATCAACTTAACTAAAAGCAAATGATAGCCTTTTGTGCCCTTGTTTTCATGAAGTTCAACCCTGAGTACATTGCCCAATACATTAGTGTAAACTAAACATCCTTGAGCACGCTTTTATCAGGAACTCGCAAGAAAAAGATATCCCTTTTTTGTTCATCCAGAGCTTTGAGAAAACAAAGCAGGTGAAGCTCCTTCTATATGCAGTCATCTCTCAAAGCTGATTTAATTCATAAAGATAAAATCAACAAACTCATTTGACAGATAAAGAATAATTCATACCAACAAATGAGCACTTTCAGTCTCCAGTTCATCGAGAACAGTTTCCCACTCCTCTTTGAAGGTTGCCATTTCATCAGCTACAGCATTTTCCAACTGAAATGACCAAATTTCAAAGTAAATGATAAGGGGGTTAATAGTTTTATATAATTGCGGAAAATTAATTCAAACCAAAAAAAAAAAAAGGAGGGAAGCCCAAAATGCACCTCATCTCCTTTAAGAGTTTGTGACAACTCTTCTCTAACATCAGTCTCCACTTTAGAGACTGACTCTTCTTCTAAAGCCTCTTGAGCCTCTGCAGCCTATAACAATCATAACCCAAAAAAAAAAAAAAAACTAAAACAAATGCAACCCACAAAATTCAATGTTAAACCATAAAAAAAGAATAGAATTCCATACCTTACTCTCAGTTTCTAAAAGCTCAGCAATGAGCTCTTCAATTTCCTTATCAGTTAAGGGTTCCTACAAACCAAATCAAAAAATAAAACACCACTCCCGCAACCAAAAATTTAAAAAAAAAATGAAACAACGAAATGGGCCGGTAATGTTTAACCTCAGGAAGCGATTGTTGATTGTCATCATCATCGTCATCCATTATAGGATCATCTGAATCATCATCGTTAATAAACGAATCATCAGAAGGAGCAGAAGAAGCCTTTTCTACGTCTTCTTCTTCCATTTCAATGTGTTTTTCTTCTTCGTCTTCCATCTCTTTGTGTGTGTGTACGAACTTGGTTTTGAAAATCGAAACGAAAGCAAGGGAAGAACAGTTCTTGGTTACTGGGATTTGCCGGAGCCTCGAAAGTAGAGAGTATAAGAATGGAAGAAAACGGGGTTTTTGGTAAAGATGATTTGGACAGTGACGACGCCGTTCCAATCTATATTTAGCGGTTCTACTACTCTAGTTCTACCCTACATGTGGATCCGGTTACTTTCCGCTTCCATATACACGTGTACACAACTCAAATATTAGACCAATAGTGATTTTTTTACCAAATTAAGCCATACTGTATAAAGCAATTTATTAAATAATTATATTTTAAGAAAATATTACAAAACATTTTATTAAACTAGAAATTTATTAAATGTATTTTCCAGTAACATTTTAGGTTATATTTTATTGGGAAAAGGGTTTGATATACCCCTCAACTTTGCCATTTGGAGCTCATATGCCCCTCGTTATGAAAGTGGCTCATATATACCCTTATCGTTATACAAACGGCTCACATATACCCCTACCGTTACAAAATGAGCTCACATATACCCTTAATTTAACGGAAGTGAAAAAAATAGTATTAAATTTATGTTTTTGACTTTTAAATTTTAAAAAAATCACGTAGAGGTATATATGATCCTTCTATTGAATTTCAAGGTATATTTTAATCTTATTTATACATAAATTATTTTTTGACGTCTTTGATTATCAGTTTTTGAGTTTCTTATTCTTATTTTATTTTTTTCTTTTGTTCGTTAGTGTAAAGAGAAAATTTAAAACTAATTTTTTTGTGGCAATATTATAATTTAAAACTATTTTTTTTACTATATTGTTTATTTAGTTTTTGTATTGAAAAAAAATTGGGTCATCTATAATAAAGTTTACAAGAAAATTAGTGAAACATAAATAAATTTGACCATCAAAATAATAAATCTAAATTAGTCATTGAAACAAAAAAAAAAGTTAAAGTATAGCAATAGGGTCATATATGAGTCACTTTCATAATGAGGGGTATATCAGCTCTAATTGATAAAGTTGAGGGGTATATCAGGCCCTTTTCCCTATTTTATTTAAAAATTTCAAGAGGCAAAAACTGACAAAGTTGACGGCGTTAAAGAGAGTGTTTGATTGGCTTAAAAGTTGGTCAAACCTATTTTTAAATCAGTTTTTGACTTCTGAAAGTGTTTGGCAAATATAAAAAATAATCTAAAATAATCAAAAATGATTTAAAATAAGTTGGAAGTGTTTGGTAAGGTAAAAAATGACTTTAAAAAGTTTAAATGACTTAAAATAAGTCAAAAACCAAAAGTAGGTCTCCCCCTACTTTTTATTTTGACTTAAAAGTCATTTCAGTTTGACTTTTTTTATTTTTGATTTAAAAGCTACTTTTTTAAATCAATCCAAACGGGCTCTAAATTTAGTGTCAAGAAGGTCTATTAACAACGTGTAAATGACTAGTGTAAGGAAGGGAGTCCGGCTCCAATACGGACATTTTTTTATGTTATAAACCAAAAGGGACCCTCCTTAAAAACACAGATCAAAATAGACACTTTGTCACTATGATAAACAAAGTTAACTTTTGTTAGTTCATCCCAAAACTCAAAAATATATTACAAAAGATTTAAATGTAGCTCACCCACAAATAGGCTAACTACAAAAAACAACTTAATCTTTTCTCCAAGATTTATCTTCATATCAAACTTGTCATGACCCAAGCCTACACCCTGAACGTGGTTGTCACGATCCGAGTCTACACCCTGGACGTGGCCGGCACTCAAGAACCATTGATGGTTCCTAAGCAAACCCTCATCCTGGCTGACTACAAGCGGAAGACTAACTTAAGCATGCAAAAACTTAAAACTAAATAAAATTCAATAAACTTAATTTTTCAAAACTTTAACTCAAATGAATAACTTAGAATAAAATAATATATTCGACTCGCTATAAAATAGGCAACTTAAGTCTTTAAAACATTTAATAAAATAAATGAATAATACAGACTTCTCAACTATACTGACTATCTATGAAGCCTCTAACTGATAAAGATGCAAGTTGGGACAAGACCCACGACATCCTGACTAAACTGAAAAATAAATGAAATCCTCCGAAAACAAGGAAGTTCACCATAGCTAACTCGAACTCCCAGATGTATCAACGAATCTCTTGTTGATGATCCCGAATACATGTGTTTGCATCATGAAAAGATGCAGGCCAAATGGCTCAGTACGTGGAATGTACGAGCATGTAAGGGGAATTCTAAAACATAAACATAAGCTTGAAACTTGATAAAAAGGAAACATACTTACCTCTTCTCAAAACTTACTCAACTCAAGGATACTGAAACTTACTCAACTCAAAAGTACTCAAGGATAAGATACTCAAGTCAGAGATTAGATACTCAACTCAAAGATATGATATTCGACTCTGGGTACACAACTCAATATAAAGCAACATTACACATGCAATATATGGAAAGCTTTATAAAAACAGTAAAAACAACTTAGTTCGTTAAAGAAAATGCAATAACAAACTCAAATTTACTTATATAATAAAGTAATATAGTTTCTGTGGGATTTTTTCTAACCGACAACCACCACTATGAGCCTAAGTGGTGATACAACGTCTTGTCCACGCTGCCAAAACTGACATATACTTTGCCGTCATATAGAACGCTTAACTTAGTGGATCCACTAGCTTATGCTAAAAGTATCTTAAGGAGTAATCGAAAATGTATGATCTGTTACTACCCATGATGGCTAAATAGTTTATGGAGACGTGAGTTATCTGAACTCAAACTCGCCCCCATATCGGTGCTCAATACTACTCCCAAAATATACTTAGCTCATATATTTGTAAAAACAAAACTTTTTCTTTAGTTTGAGATAATTACTCAAAACTTAGCTTAAAAGCTCTCTTGGAATCGATGTTCCCCTTTCTTGCTCAAAACTCTTTTGGAAATCTCAGTTTCCTCTCATCTTAAATGTGAAAAACATTTACTCTTGGGAATACTTAGTTCCCATATATCATTTTTTTAAAATGAACTTTACTCCTTACTCTTTACTCAACTTCAAAGTTTAAGTCTTAAAACAAAGTTTAAACATTTGTAAAAGACTTCTTAAAAATATGGTTCATGCCGAATTATGGACTTGAACGACTCAATGCAAGGTTTTCAATAACCACATATAGAACTCAAATACTTGGAACTCAAGAACTTCAATGATACTACTAATTTCAAGAATTCTCAACTCAGAGGGTTCATGTGGAATTATGAGCATGAACTACTCAACTCAAGGACTCAAAGTTACTTCTCATCTCAAGATTGTTCGACTTATAATGTTCATGCAGAATTATGGGCATGAACAACTCAACTCATGGACTTCATAGGTAATAGGTAATAGTCTCATGATTAGAAATATAATTTCAAAGGGAATTAGGAACTCAATACTCAAGACTTAGAACTTGAAGATACTACTCCTCTCAATGATGCTCAATTTATGGAGTTCATGCGGAATTATGGGCATGAACGACTCGACTCAAAGGTCTACATAACTACATGGATCTCATGTATACGACTCTTCTCATTCTCTTACTTACTTCCTCATAACTTAGTTCAAATCAATAGTTGATCTCAAAGGATTCACAATCGAACTCAAAGGCTTTCTTGAACTTTACTCTTAACTCTCTCTTGAATGTGAATTATGAATTCAAGAAATATAGTTCATGATATGAAGGATCTTGGTGATAGTGTAGACTTGTGAATAGTTTCTCCTCACTCGCATGCTCACTTACTTGAGTCTTGAGACAAGTTACTAGAAATTGTAGAAGACTCTTCAAAGGGACTCTCTCAAAATGATCGAAAAAACTCTCAAGACTTAATTCTTAACTTTTCCTTGAATTTGAATTATTAATTCAAGGTTATGATTCATGTTATGAATTATTTCTAAGTGTTTAGAAGTAGTTTAGAGTGATTAGAATCAAAGGGAGTAAAGGTACACTTAAAAGGGGCTCAAACGGGATAACTGACGAAAAATGAGTGAGGGCAGGCGACCCTGGCGCGTTCCGAGCGCAGGGCACCAGCCCCTAACTTCAGAGGCTGCATATGGGCGCACTGCAGGGGTGCCGCCCCAGCCCCTTGGGCGCATCTGGGGCATGCTGTCCCAGTCTCTCCCCAGGCTAAGTTCGAGGAATTTCGCCTCTCGTTTTCTGATCCTAAATCGCTTTTAATCGATTTCTTTTCTCAAGTTTTCCTTAGATTCAATTACCCAACCTAAGTACACACTAATCCACTCAAAACAACCACTTACATCTCAATAAATCATCAGAACCCCAACAAAACAAGATTTAGAATGAACTTCAAGAACACCTATCAAGAACTTAAATCCTTCAACTTTTTGAGAATGAAACTTTACTGAAAATAACATGTTTGGCATGTGGGTGAACAAACCCAACACTATGGAAGCTTACATACCTCTTAGGGATTAAACCCATGG